ACACCCTTTCAAGCCCGAAACAACCATAGTAATAAACACAACAAAAAGCTCGCTGGAAAATCATTACATAACTCACAGTGAATTTTGCAAGAATAGCATCACGTCCTTTACATTGCACTCCTTCAAAGCTCATATACGAGTTTTCGGTATCGTAAAGGTCACCAAGACCTTGCGCACGTGCCATACCATCTCCCTGATCAAACTTGGAATAGTAATGTTGCACGAATGCCGTGGCTATTGTTTCGTAATCTGGGTTGAAGTTCATTCCACAGTATCCGGAACTGAAAAATGTCCACATAACAAGCAAATAACAAGAACTGAGAAATACCCACATAACAAGCGAAAAACAATTATTGCACGGTAGTATATTCAAGATGGCGCAACGAAGAATCTAAAAAAAAACATAGTCCGAGTGTGTTAAGGAGTAGGGAAAAAGACAGTTCGGAAAAAGAATATCTTTCAAAATGGGCAACATGCCAGGGCACTCTTAACAATTCAAAGCAGACCGCTAGGTTCCTCCCGCTATGAAGATTATTACGTATCAGAAAGTGGCGCAAAATGGCCAAAGTTTGCGGAATACAAAGCATACAGCTGTTATGACAAATATCCGCTCGACAACGATTAGAAATCGCCAAACGAAGCTGTGTCAGTGATGGATGAATGAGTCTACGCGAGTAAAAACACTTTCGATCAATCCAAACACAGGAACCTCACCATCGGTGAGAACCTATAATCCTCAGGTTTCGTAATATGAGTCCAATTCACTTTTCAAAGATGTGGAGATCGCTACGAGATTGATGTGTGTATCCAAAGAAGTAGCACTCGCTGAGAATAACCCAACAACGCATATAGGCAGAACACAGCCCTTAGATTTGGGTAAGTGGTAGGTTTTAACCTAGAAAGCATCGAAAGTTCGAGGGCCGTTAAAAACGCGCCCACTGAAAAACCAAACAGCCCAACGACATGTCAGTGAACGTCAAGGAGGCGAGCTCCAATTTTATCGTTTGGATTGTCGTCCGTTTTCTGGAATCGCTTCGAGTTATTTTGGATCCGCGTTTCTTTAGAAATCTTCTTCGATTCATCTGTTATCTTGACTGCGAAGGTGAGAAGGTTTTGTTTCCTGTAGTCACTGTGCGTTCGCGATTCAAGCATTTGTCGTTTCTCCTTTAATTTTCTCCTTGCTTTTTTGCACACAAGTTTCTTTGGAATGGTGGTAGCTATTGGAAGTTGTAAAGTTTAGACCATTGCTCATCAGATACTGTTCCACAGGAGAGGACCAATTTCTTTTCTTGCGAGATCGCGAACCGATCAGGAATGCTCTACCCCTCCGAATATTTCAAACTTCTTTTACCGAATCTTCCCTGGGGAATGCTCTTCGATATCTTTTCTTGCTCCTAGTGAAACGTTTTGTGGCTTATCTGGGACATTCATGATACTTTTTGAGTGGACGTTTTTCGCCCAACATATGATGTTGCTGGAGCTCGTTCAGCAAATCATTACCTAGTACTTCGTTATCGAATATGCAGCAATATCAGGATAACGAGAGTCAAAGAAACCTCAAAATCCCGGTAAAGAGTGACTGGGGAGGTTTGTTGAAACTGGCGGAAGAAGTTGGCGTCAACTTGTAACTCAAGCGTCTTAGTGGAGAAAATGAAAAACGCAACAGCTGAGAACTATTGGGGAGGAACGAAGAGGGAAAGGAGCGTGGAGAGGGACGCTTCTGTTATATCTCCGTTTTCCAATTCTCCAACTGATGAGTTTAGTAGTAAAATGTCAATTTTGTACAGCTCGGAGGCGTGCCGCTCGTACTACGTAAAATATGGTTACTAGATAACGTATTTCTATAAATAGGAAGGCTTTTGAACGCTTCTTTGAATTAATTCTCATGTTGCCGCGTTGTCTACAATGCATAATGGGACCTTCGTATTGCGTGGGTTCTGTGCGAACGAAAAGGAAGAAGCAGTAACGGGCGACTGTAGGCGTATTCTGCAATAGTTCGTCATGTTACGGTAGCGGAAATTTTGCACAATAGTGGGTTACAGCGGAAAGAAGGATGGAGAAGGGAGACTTCACGGTTGACAGCTATACTGAGGCGTTTTACTTTTTCGGATTTCTCTGTGCTGGGCAACATTTGGGGCTGGACTGTGCGAGCACACAATTATGAGGCAGAAATGAGTATTCTTACCCTGGGCTAGAGGGTTGAGTTCTCGCGGGTAGCTTAACCACCCTGTCCAACTCGGAGCTCCTTTTGCCATTAGGGCGAGACAGAAAATATCTCTGGCCGTCATTAGTGGAACTCGTTCTTCTACCGAAGTGCCCACCATATTGCACTTGCGCCTCAAATTGTTCAGATTTTTAAGCTTGGCTACATTTGTTATGTGCCTATCAAGCACGCATCGCAATTATCAAGGACTAAAGTCAATTATGTTGTTTACACTGTTGAAGTATTGATTGTAGAATGGGACAGATAACTGAATTACGTACGTTATCAGTCGTTATTTTGACACTTCAAAACTTTTTTGGCGTGACAGCTGTGTACCCGCCACTTCAGAAGTCTTGTAAGGAGGGCTTGAGCTTTCAGAAGAAAAGGATGTTTTCAGACCAGCATCAACTGTGCTTCCGTTGTTCTTGGAGTTGCTTATGTGGGCACCAGTAATGACTCCTACTTCCCGGCAACATGCTAGCATACAGGGCACAGCAT